TGCGTCTCTGGTGACATCATCATGCTGGGTTAGTGCGACAGAAATCAGGAAAGTAAACAATGAAGAGCATCATGGAAGGAAGCCAGGTCGTAGTCAGGTTTTCTTTATTGTTTCTCTCTATTATCTGTCCCCACGCCACTGTGTCTCTGGTGACATCATCATGCTGGGTTAGTGCGACAGAAATCAGGAAAGTAAACAATGAAGAGCATCATGGAAGGAAGCCAGGCCATAGTCAGGGTGCTTTATTGTTTCTCTCTATCTGAATCCGTCTCACCTGCTGCTCCTCGTTTATCCAATGGAAACAGCTGATTCTGCTGGTTAGATCAGAGGCGACTGGCGCGGCGTGTTGACGTCCGTACGTTGCGTTCAATGGTTCCCACAGCATGCCGATCAGAGCCGAGGAGATTTTAACGCGAGCCGCTTGCTGAGCGTTAAACGGGTTTTAGAAACATTTCATCTACCCCCTTTCCCACTGTCCAAAAAACCCATTTAAACTGGAAACAATGGGCTTTTAGTGGCAGTGGCAACAACCCAGTGACGCGTGTCTCCCCGGGTCAAACGACTCGGCAAGCGACCCGCATGGCGCTGTGACAGAGTCATTTAGCAGGTGGTTTGTTTGGAACGGAGAGCAGGGCAATCTCAGAAACACCTCAAACCAAGGGTTCAGTAAAGCACAGGAGTGGAGGGATGATGATGTGGGCTGTTCCAACCTTCTCTTTTATCACATCTTAATGAGGCTTATCCCTCTTCTTGGTCTCTAGAGAACAGCTTCCTGTGGAACCACAAGTCCGAAGGCTACAAGAACCGGGAGCTGCGATGGAAAACGCTGGAGCGGCTCAGGGTCCAGCTCTCCTCCCAGCCTCCGCCGGTTCCTTTCACAGGTACCGTCGTTTAAGGCGCACCGCTAATCGTCCTTCATCTCCAGGAATCTGGAATGATGTCAGATTAACTTTTAAACTACTTTAGAGCTGTTGGAATGTGTTCAAAGCAATTTATAATGAAAATACAAGAAGGTAATAAAACATTATTTGGTTTAACAACATTTCAATAAATTATTTCCCTTAAAGAGAAACCAGTAAGTGTTAAGATCCTAGATTCTTAAAGTTCGGTGATCATTCCTGAGGGAATAATTGAAGGAATAATGGACCCTTCAGCTTCTTTAGTAAGTTTTGGCTAGTTTAAGCTAGCATTTTAAAGGGGTCACAGTTGACAGTCGTAGGGAAGTCATCTTTAAATGTATTCTTTATCAGAGGAACGCTCCAGCTGGTCCTTCTATTCCACATCTGTCCAGTTTTCCCTCAATTGGCCCAAAAACAATTATGATCTGGAAATTTAAGTAGGAAGAGATTTGAATATGAATTCTTTGCGATATCAGCAAACTTCCACCTTTGTTTTGTGTTTTCTGCAGTGGAAGACATCAAGAACAAGTTCAAGAACCTGCGTACGACCTTTCAGCGTCAGTACAAGATGGTCCAAGCGAGCGGCGAGGGCCTCTTCATCCCACAGTGGAAGCACTACCAGCAGCTGATGTTCCTGCAGGCCTGCTGCAGTCAGGAGGACCCGGCCAACAACACGCCCCCTATGGTTCCTAAGGAGGAGAACCAGTTCCCGCTCACCTCCCCTGCACTCCTCTCCTTCCTCCCCTCCCCGTCCTCCTCTTCATCCTCATGTGCCCCCTCCGGCGTCGTTGGGAGGTGTTTCTGGACAGAAGAAAAGGAACGCGAGCTGATATCCTTCTATGCAGGTAATAAACAGAAACGTCCCGATGACTCTTCTTCTGAAGCGGTTTGTTCTTGACTGGACTTTGGTCCTTTTGCAGAACATGGCTGCCTGTGGAACAGGAAGTCTGAGAATCACAACAACCGTCAACTCAGACAGAACCTCTTGGAGTCGCTAAGGAAGCAGCTCTCAGACCAGCTGGTGTCTTTTTCTGGTAAACATGCTTCTGTAAATCTTTTAGGTCAGCGGCCGGAACCAGGAGGCCGGATTACTGGGTCAGACGGATAAGTTCAGGTTCAACCCTGAACACAAATTAAATGAACATTTTA